ATAGCTCGGAGTTTGAAAATATTAGCAACATTTGTGCTGAAATATCACCGATTGAAATAACTGAGGAGCTTGTTGGACAACAAATTGACATGCTTCCGGATGATCTTGTCAGTGGTCCCGATGAAATACCAAATAAATTTATCAAGCATTGTTTGGTTTCATTGCGGGGGCCAATCACAACATTGTTAAGAGAATCTCTTGAAACATACACTGTACCACAGATTTGGAGAACGTCTTTTGTCAGACCGGTTTACAAAAACGGTGACAGAAACAACGTTCAAAATTACCGTGGTGTCGCTCTTCAGTGTATAGTGTCAAAAATTCTAGATTCGATAGTCACGGACCATCTCAATCAATATCTAAAGAACATGGTACACGAATCTCAACATGGGTTCATCAAAAATAGGTCAACGATAACGAACTTGGCAGAATTTACATCGAATACAATAATCAATACGGGAAAGGGACATCAAACAGACACCATATATTTGGACATTGCAAAGGCTTTTGATTCTGTGAATATAAAATTACTAATTCAAAAGCTAAACATCATGGGATTGAATACACAGCTGTTAAAATGGATCGAATCGTATTTGTCTGGACGCAGACAAATAGTCAAGATAGCAGATACCAAATCTGACCCAATCGAAGTAACTTCTGGTACTGGTCAAGGTTATCCCATTGGCGCAACTTTGTTCATCATGTTTGTGATAGATCTACCTTTCGTCGTGACCAAATCTTGCATCCTTTCATTCGCTGATGATACCAAGATTTCAAAATGTATAAAATCAGAAGATGACTGCATTCATCTTCAAGAGGATTTGGATCGTGTGGCAAATTACTATGAACGCAATTTATTAAAGTTGAACGTTAACAAAACAAAAATAATATCATATCATCGTGGATCACTGAAATATGAATATAATTACAACATAGATGGCGTGCAAATTGAAAGAGTAGAGGTAATAAAGGACTTGGGAGTATTGCTTGATGTGAAGATGAATTTCAAATCACACATCGAGCATGTTGTTGCAAAGGCAAAATCAAGATTGGCTTGGTTAAAATTCAACAGCAGGGATTTTGTCGACCCATGGACTTTAAAACGCCTTTACTTTGCATTTATATTACCGATTATTGAGTATGGATCTGAAATATGGAATCCACACTACGACAATATGTGCAAAAGAATAGAGTCAATACAAAAACAATTTTTAATATATGCTCTGAGGAGAATGGCCTGGAACGATTTTAGACTGCCAAAATACGAACACAGGCTACTATTTCTGCAAATGATTACTCTTGAGGAGAGACGCAAGATGGCGCAAGTGTCTTTTATTTTCAAAATTATTCACGGAGATTTGAAGTCAACTTATGTTTCAAACAGTATGAAATATTACGATCCAGCACATGATACCAGAGCAACACCACTATTTGATCTACCAATTAGGAGAACTGATTACACAAAATATGAGCCAATAAATTATATGCTTACAACATTCAACGAATTTTATACCAAAAAATTGCAAAACAGTGATAAAAATTTAATTGATTTAGAAGTAAATTTATCAACAGTAAAACTGAGAATAGAGAATTATTTAAAGCAAAGCAGATAAATACAAAAATTTGTTATGGATTATAGAAATTTTAAGCAGTTGAAAAATTAATTTATGAAATTTATATTATTTACATGAGAAGAGCAATAATTTTACATTTTCTCTCTCAAAAATGCTTGATAAAAATCAAATTGTATTATATTGTATATATTTGATTAAGTTATTTTCAATAAACCACCAAGGCGAAGGAACGCTGTTCGGTGCAGTTATTATTATTATAATACAAAATAAATGAATTCAAAAATATTTATACATTAGAGATAAAATTATATATATTATTTCATATTTATATTACTTTGAATGATGGTTAAATGCGTAGGCATTTCTACATTGTTATGCCATCTATTACCGAAACATTTGAAACTTCACCCTTTTGTATAGTTTTTGAACTTACGCATTCAATACTCACATAAAACATTGTATTTGTCTATGTAATTTTCAAACAAAATATCGTTTATGTATAAGTATATTCTCTTTTGAGCGGTTCTTCTTCATTTATGCTTTGGAGAAGATCCGCACAAAAGAGAATACACAAAAACGATATTTTGTATCGAGAGTCAAGCGCAATGAGGGCACACTATATAAACGCCATCTATTAATAACCGACTAACTACAATGTAAATCAAACGTATCTGTTTCCCCTTTTTATTTACTCCCTTCCCCTCTCGCTATACTTTTACATTGTAGTTAGTCTGTTTTACAAAGATGTCGTTTCTGTGTAAGATGTGTGACGTCACAATGTATTTATATGGATAGCGCTCGACTCTCGTTTTGTATGAAAATCATATGGACAAATACAATTTTATCTAGTTTTCCTTGCATATTTTTTCTGAAATATAAATATAGCTGAAGTTCTATAACTTCAACGTTATTTCAACGTGTTGGGGGGTTTTTTGACACGAAAAAAACGAATCTGGCATTTATTTTAAGATCCGATTATATTTGAAAATATATTATATTCCCGTACAAAAAATTGAAAAAATCACAAAAAATTTGGAGTTTCATCACCTTTTCAACCAAATATTAAATATTCTCACCAGAAAATCACTTAAATGACTCATAGCTGTCTTAAAACAAAAAATTGTGCTAGCATCCAATCAGTTTAGTTAAAAAAAATATGATTTTCCTCGCCAAAATTTATTACCCTTTGATTTTTTTCGAATATTTAAAGAAAATTGCTTTGATTTATATTTTAAGTGTTCAATATTTTTCAAAAACAACAAATTCCATTCATTTACAATCAATTTTATCTGTTTATTTAATTTTATTAAGCAAAAAAGAATGAATTTAAATTCAGTTATCATCTTCATCATCTGATTTCATTTGTAAGTTCCAGCAGAGGTCAGCAAGCAATAAATTTTGTTTCTTGCCACTATACCAGTGTTCAAGCTGAGCGGTCACCTGATGAAACCGTTCACCGTGTTCATCAGATTCTTGCATCTCTAACTTATCTTGGTGATGGTGTAGAAAATGTATTTTTATCAACATGGTGACGCCTATTATGTCGAATGAATCAAGCATGTTTTCGACCAAAATGTTTCAATTTTGTGCACGGTGAATACCAAGTGCACCTTCAATAACAGCTTTCAAATTATCCCAAGCGACACCTTCTTCTTCCAGCAAACATTGTTCAAATTGATCATCCTTCATTAATTTTCGAATATCTGGCCCGTTCAATACGCCTAAGCAAAAAAGACACAAAGGTGTACTCAATAAAAATGTCATTAGTTCATAATTTTAAACAAAAATGCTTACCTTCTTTAATTTTTGCTTTGCTCAATCGACGAAAAATTTGTTGCAAACGTTGAAATGCTCGTTCATTATTTCTCTTCACCAGTGCCTTGATGAAATTCTTGACAATGCCCAATTTAATATGCAGCGGTGGTAATAACACTTTTTCCATTGGAACAAGTGGCTCATATCTCACATTTTGATGGTCAATTTGATAGGTTTGTCGGGCTGGCCAGTCACGTTTTTGGTACTGGTTCGCATGTCGTGTATCCCATTGGCATAAAAAAACACATGTATTTGGGATAACCTCTATGTGGTAGTCCCCGTAACAACGCGAACACTTTTAGATCGGCGCACACTTTCCATAGATGCTCATTGTATTTATGGCATCAATTATTTTTGGCATCGATTCTTTTGATTCCTCAGTTTCTGTGCTGATTGCAAGCGGAATTGGGCTCTTTGTGTTGTCAATATACAGAAGAACCGCTTTCAAACAAAACGAAGATCATATCATATCATTGGAGTTCACTGCAGTATGAATACAAATATAACATAGGCGGCGTTCAAATTGAAAGAGTCTTTGTAATAAAGGACTTGTGAGTGTTGCTTGATGTGCAAATGAATTTCAAATCACACATTGAGCATGTCAAGGCTAAAGCCAAATCAAAATTGGCTTGGTTAAAGCTCTACAGCAAGGATTTCATCGGTCATGGACAAGAACGCCTTAAAAATTTACATTTGTATTACCAATTATCGAAAATTGGAATCCACACGACGACAACATATGCAAAAGAATAGAGTCAATACCAAAACAACTTTTACTATTTGCAATATTTGGAACAGTTACAGGCTTCCGAAATATGAACATTAGGGTGGATGAATTTTTCTCGATTTGGCTCTACAGCCCAGAGTAGTTATATAAGCATGAGCTGATTCCAAAATAGCCATTTTTTGATGTGGTTATGTGTCATATAGGGTGGCGACTTGAACGAGAGTGAAGACAACTTTTTCAAAAAAATCGAAAATAATGTAATTTTTAGTAATAACAATTTTGGTTTATCTTTTACATTTCTACGCTCAAATTGATCTTATTTCATCAATTAAGACCAATTTTTTCTTTATAATCCTTCAAAGGGCCAAATTATACAAATTTACTAATCTGGTAAAATCTTCAAAAATCGTTAAAAACCAGAAAAATTAATGAATTTCAATAGTCAACAAATTCGAATTTTTAGCAACGACCATAGCAGTGGCTATCATAGCATGATAGGGCCGTGTCTACCGATCACTGAGCCATGCTGATTACTGAGCTGGGGTCTGCAAGTCTAAGTTTTTTTTAAATTTAAAACCCGTTATTTACCGGTTGAAATAAAATTGTCAACATTGAGTCAAAAATGAAAAGTTTCTTCGATAGACATCCTCTATTTTCATTGGAATGACTCAAAATCTACCTAGATCATATATTTGGAGAAATTCCTGAAGATTTGCAACGTTTTGTGGTGATTTCAATTCCTAAAGAGTGTTTTCCGATAGTGTTTCAATGTGGCCTTTTGGATTTTTTGTAATTGTACTGAAACAAAGATAGGGCTTTATTGTAATTACGGAGTTGAGCTGTATGACGTTAGATTTATCTACATTGATTTCTTTAAACGATAGAAGGGTAAATTTGGCAATAAATCACCATTCCAAAAAATATCGGATATGAAGAAAAATGAAGAAAGTGGTCTTTTTCTAGTCGAACTTTTGAATATACACCACCATAATTTTTATATCACGAGATCGTTTCAGGTGTTTATTATGGCATTGGATCGCTATGGACTTCAGCATTACAAAGCAGTTTAGGAATTGAAAATATTATCCGTGATGTGACCTTAGTGTTGATTTATCTCATACTGTCTTTGGTCAATATTGACCATTTTCTTTCAACCGGTGTTTAAAAAAACACCGATGTGCTGAGATCTAACTGAGCATGATTTTAGTAACCCGTATTCACGATTCATGTACACTCGGCAAATCTTCGCTGCTTAGGCGAATATCAGCAGTAGAATTCACTGCGACATGGTCAAAAAACATCAAGTAGCCATATGTACATTTTTCATTCTCTTTTGTGCGAACTTCCTTTGATGCATTAGATGTACGACAGTTCGCAGTGAACTCAGCGGCTGATATTCCGTAAAGCAGTGATGATGTTCTTATACGCGTTACTGAGGTCGTATTGGCTTTAAACGAGTATGGTCATCACTAAAAATTGAAATTGGTTGACTAGTGAAAGTTATTAATTTTGCTGGTTTTTAACGATTTTTAAAAGATGTAACCTGGATTAGTAAATCTGTATAATTTGGCCATTTGAAGTGTATAAAGATTAAAATTGTCTTAATTGATGAAATAAGAGAGTACCACTCTCTCAGAGTAGATATATAAAAAATAAACCAAAATTCTTATTACTAAAAATCACATTTTTTTCGATTTTTTTGAAAAAGTTCTCTTCACTCTCGTTCAAGTCGCCTATATGACATATAAACCCATCAAAAAATGGCTGTTTCGGAATCAGCACATGCTTATACAACTTCTCTGGGCTGTAGGCTTTGATACTTACATTTTTTCGAAAAAGTCATCCACCCTAATGAACATAGATTGCTGTTTTTACAAATAATTACGCTTGAGGAGAGACGCGAGGTGGCGCAAGTGTCTTTCATCTTCAAAAATTATTCATGGAGATATGAAGTCAACTCATATATCAAACATCTTGAATTATTACGATTCAGCGCATAAGACCGCTTTTTGATATACCTGATATATATATATATATATATATTAGAAAGAGCGATTACACAAAGTTTGAACCGAATAATTATATGCTTACAACATTCAATGATTATTATACAAAAAAATACCAAACAGTGATACTAATTTAATTGATTTAGAAGTAAATGTATCAACAGTTAAACTGAGAATTGAAAAATATTTAAAACAAAATAGATGAATTGAAAATGTAAATGTAATTATTTATAATAATTAATAATTATTATTTATCTATTTCTTGATGTAAGAATTTAATTATATTGTATTTATTTAAATTATTTTAAATAAACCACCAAGGCGAAGGAACGCTGTTCGGTGCAGTTATTATTATTATTATCAGTCTATTCGCAAGCTATATTACTTTAGAAGAAAAAAATATCTTTTATGCATCGATTGTTAAATTAAATTAAAACAGTAAAAAAATCAAAAATGTTTTTAAATTAATATAAAAAAAGATCAATTCTATTCGTTTGTATCATCAGAATGATTGCCAATCGATGATATTGCATGATGCGGTATAATTGCTTCGTGATTTTTCTTGAGATGATCTTCAAGTTTCGCTTGTCTTGCAAAAGCTGAGTTACAAAATTTGCAAACATGTGTTTTGCTCGATATTTGTCGACTCGACGATGTATCATGTAGACGTAAATGAACATTCATATTATATCGCTGAGCAAATTTTTGTCCGCAAATTGGACATGCAAATGGTTTAGATCCAGTATGTATTCGTAGGTGACGATTTAAGTGAGATGTTGAGCGAAACATCTGATTACAATGGGGACACTTTTTCTTTCTTATGTCATCATGAGCCATCAGATGCATTTCAAATGAACTTTTGTGAATAAAGCCTTTACCACAACGATGGCACTGGTAAAAGTTGAGTCCACTCTAAAATACAAGAAATTGATATTTTGTCATTAGACATGTTGCCTTTATAGACATGTTGTTCTTTTTCTTACATGAATTCTCATGTGCCTAACCAGAGCTCCTTTCTGCTTGAAGGATTTTTTACACAAAACACATTGCAGTGGTGAAAGCTTGTCATGTAATTGCTTGTGCTCTTCTAAAGCTTTTCTTTCTTTTAAATCAAAGCCACATATTGTACATTTAAATTGTTCCTCCTCTCCTTTGTGCTGCCTCAAATGGTGCTGTGTTGAAAAATGATGTCTTAAAATTTTTCCAAATCACACTTCAACTTAAATACTTACTTCATATTGCGTCTTTGTGCAAAAAACTTCAAAGCAATGGTAACAGCTGTATATAATCGGTTTAAGATCTGAACTTTCTCCTTTTGCATGTTCATGTCGGGCCAATGCAGCCACACTGAAATCGAACAGAAAAGTTTTTCTTAATATACCGAGTTGAAAAACAATTATATTAACCTTTTAAACTCGATATTGCACTTGTGACATTTGTGTGTTATGCGTTTTACTCTTCCTGATGTTATTTTTCGTTGTTGTACATTGTTGGATAAATATTTTGAGTGGCATTTCAACACAGACGGACAGTCCTCATCACTTTCTGACTCGAATTTATGGCTTTCACTACAAGATTTTGAAGCTGGAATCTCAAAACATTCAACCTTAAACTCTTCTAATGTTTCAATAGTTTCGATTGACGGAACATAGAGCTCTTCAGAATTGATTGATTTAGCTTCTATATAATATAATGATTCGGTCGCCAACAGAATATCTCGCAATTCTCTTTCAACACGCTGTGCTGTCATCGTAGCCAAATCATATTCATCAATTTTATTGAGACATTCAATACAAACACAATGTTTATCTATACATTTCCGCTCTGATTGATGGTTTCCCAAGAATTTTTTTATAAATTCACAAATACTGGTTTCCGTGTATTTTGATTTGGTTTTAAATAAATTTCGACTATAAAACACTGACGTTGTATTGCAAATATAACAGTTCTTTGGATCCATTGTAGCATTTGAAATATAACTTATATGGGATAAAATAAAAATAACCAAAACAAAGAAGCGATAATTAACTTGAATCTTTATATCCAATCTTTAATTGTGTTTATTTTGGTATTGTTAAATTTGTAGTCAAATTCTCTTTGGAAATATGACGCAAAATGTCAGTTTTGACAAAAAAAAAAATATTTTGACATCGACAAAAGCTGGGCTAAAAAAACGTATAACGCTAAGTATATTTTTTATTTTATTTTCTTCGGTTTTCTTCGAGTAATTTTCACATATCTCATTTGGATTTAATTCAGTATGACAGCTTTGGAAACGGATAATACAAGAATTCGATGAATAATGTTTCGTTAGTTTTTGATTTCCGATAATTAACAGAATTAAAATTCTTTCATTTATGTGGGAATTTTAATATCAGGTAAAAATTCCGACGTTAAAATATCTTGGCATTTGATTAAAATTTCATCAGCTGTTTCATTGGCCTGCTTAATGCTTCTGCTTGCTGCCTGAATCTTTAATTGTGATTGGATTAAGAGTTCTTCAGCTGCCAAAATTTGACTTGATGCTGTCACCACTGTATGTTGTATAGTTTGATTGAGATTATTCCAAAATGAGTAATTTCGGTCGACTATAAACATAAATAAAATGAAAATGAAACAAATCTTGCTAAAGAATTGATGTTCTTCAATTTTACCCAAAATCTTCTGTAAAACAGAGTTTCCTTCAAAAGGTTCTCGGCGTTTGTGATTTGTTGGTGATGATTCAGTCATGTTTTGGTCTGTTCCTAATTTCACATTCGAAAAAGCAAATATTTCGTCATCAGACTCGGGTGCTTCGCCACTAAACACAGTGCCTTGATATTCGCTGGTTTCATGTTCATACTAATGTGAAAAAATAAGATTACTTTTAATCAACTATTCTTAAACAAATTCACACGTACATTTGAGATTTTTTGATATGCCTCAAATTCATCGTCTGATTCTATTGCTTCGCCTTGTACAACAGATTCTTCTCGAAAAGACATCCTAAAAAATCAAATCGTGTTGACTTTTAGTGAACCATTGACAGCTGTCATTTGTATTTATGTTTACACTTGACATTTGGGTTGGTTTTCATTTTGAATAAAATACGATTCAAAAACATTAATTAGAACTTTATTTGGACTTTCACTACAATTATTATTATTATTTTTTTGAAATGGTCTTGGAATGATTCAGAGTTTAATTCAATTTTCATTCGGTGGACTATCGCTGTCTGAACTTGATGTATCTGCATCAAGCACCTTGTTTTGTAGCAGATTATCAAACGCATCTGAAAAATTAATTTATTTTCATGAGACAAAAAGTATAACTATTTGGAAGTTCCGATTTTACCAGCAAACTTTTCAGCGTATGCTAATCTTTCGTTTCGTGACCACGTTGCCGTTGTTTCTTTGAAAGCCATGACTTCTGTCAAAAGTTGTTCAAATCCAGACAACTCTGCTTCAAGAGTGTCAACGCTAACCATTTTATCTTCTTCTGCTGCAAGAAATTTTTATTTTTATCAATAAGTTATTGGAAACACTTATTTACTACAAAATTGTACCTTCACTTTCGTCATGAGGAATTTTTGATTGAGGCAACTTGCGTTTCATATCAACATTGGACCAAATTATGGCACGAATTGTTTGCAAAACCTCATCATAGCCAAGTGGATCGTGATGGCTGTCAGCTGCACATTGATCATCATCATCAGTGTCACGCTTTCGCTCCAACTCGATAACGTCCAGTACATTGCTAAATTCTTTGCTCTCTTTGTAAGTGATTCCATCTAATGAATTGTCATACAGTTCACTGCACAACAAAATGCCAAATTCAATGTTATTTCGTTCGATAAAATTGGCATAAACGGGTAGCTTGTGCAAGAAATCTTTCTGTAAAAAATTTGTATGAAGGTAAATGATTTCTAAATTTCTATTTGTTCGCACATGAAAAATCTTACGTTGTCCGAATCGAAATAAACGATCACACCTTCGATGCGATCCAATAGTTCAACTGGTACCAAATTAATATGGTTTGATTCGTGCGACAGAAAAACGAGATCGTTTTCATAATATTTTGTACAATTGTGAAATTTATATCCCAAAACATTATTGCCCAAATCGATCGTGTTCTTGTCGGATGATTCTTTGCGGAGATCTAGATAAAACAAATATTGAGTTTATTTAAAAAAAGATATATCGATAATTGGCAATAGGTTATAATAAGTTTAATCTAAAATTCAGCGCTTACTGTCGATAATCTCTTGAGATCCCTTTTTTGCGCCTTCTGAACAAACAATAATGATTGGTAGCTTTGATTCACTCATCGCTTAACATTGATTTTACTTTAAAAAAGTGAAATATTTTACAATCTCTTCTTTCCACGGAGTAGCGAATTCCACCGTATGAATGTAAATTGCATAAAATATTCTAATAGTTTGACAGTTTACATTGATATTGTTTTTCTCCGTTTTTGACATCATATTATCCATAGACATTTTAACGGATATGACAATGCATAGATTAGACATTTTAACGGATAATAATGTTCTACAATAATAATTAATAATAAAAAAAAATTTCAACATGCAAACACATAATCAAATAAAATCAAGAAACTTTGAAAATCTTGAAAAAAATTGAATTTTCAATTATTTATACAATTCGTTTGATAAATACTATTTCATGGACTCTTATTTGACTGGAAGCGACCGCTTCCAATGTCAAATGGTTGGTTGTAGAAAATAAACACAGAGAAAACTATTGCGCTGTATCGAAATTTGTCATAGACATTTCGATTCAGTACTTTGTGGAGCACACTTGGAGACAGAGCAATATTATTTGCATTGTGATTGGGATAGTATAAAAACATTCTGTTCATTGTTTAGAAGCTTGTTAATAAGTTAATTTGGATTCACAAATAAAAACTATACACAGATTTAATATGATATGATTGGAAGCTCTTCATCATTCAGCGTTTTGATCATACAAGATATAAATAAAAATTGCGGTGAGAGAGTGAACATATTTTTATGGGCAAATGTGATTTGTTTATCTAGATTTGCATATTTTCCATATTTACATTAATTAACTTCAAGTGTTTGCATCAAGAAATTTGGTGCTTTCACGTGAATATTTTGAATAAATTATCATTCATTTGGATGTAAAATCAATAGATTCATTTGGAAAAAAATGAAGAAGTAAACATCTGATTTTGAATTAAATATTATTAGATCGAATAAAAAAATAAATTCAGGCACAACTGTTTTGAATGAAGTAAAAAAAGTGATTAAGAAATCTTTCAAAATCATTTTTTCCCTTTTCTTGTTTATAGTACCATAGCAAAACAAAGAACATACGATTTACGGAGCGAACGAGAATGTCACCGTTCTATTTCTATCCAGAGTGGAGGTCTTAAAATATAAACAAACGCTGTGTTACTTGAAATCTTCAAGGGTTAGAATATACTTGAACGAAAAAGAGTATATTTAGCTAAATAAATTTTCATTTACAAATATCAAAACAATCTATAGGAAAGCCAATCGTTTTCAATAATTCTTTGACTTCAACTTCAAGAATAATTTTCTCCAAGTTTCAACTAAGTTTACAATCTGGTTACATTTGTGGAATTCTATGGCACAAATCACAGACGTGATGACGAATGAAAAAACGACAGGTAAGATTTTTAAACTGACAACTAAACATCAACTGACAACAACCGTAGAATATTGTGAATATTATTTAATTACCAAAATACTCACCCCAACCCATAGATGATAACGGAATTTTTTTAGAGGGGGGTGATGGAAAAATCCATGAGGGTCCCTGACGATGTCAAAAGTTTGTAGGAAATGAGGATAGAATCGTGTTTTTTTTTTGCTCTACACTTTTTTGGCGAAAAACCCAAACAAATCGAAAGAATTTTCTCGGTGTAAAAAAAAAAGTAAAAAAAAAACAAAAAAGATCCTCATTTCCAAAATTGTTCAGGGTTCCTAAATTTTTTTTAGAGGGGGGTAATCCGAATCCTAGGAACCCTCGTCATCACCTATGCCCTCACCAAATTTGAAGAAATGTCAATAAAAAATTTGAGTACCTTCCATCAACATTTTCGATTTTTGGCTCAGAAACGAAAATGTTGTATGGTATGTGCACCATTTTCAAGAATGAATTTGAGAGAAATACATACATTTATACGCGTCAAATTTCACTATCCTGAGAAAACGGTTTTTTGTGTGTGATGTATGAGGCAAAACGCTATACAGAAACCATGGGTCAATCTGGAGACCGTCCCCGTTTAAAAATGTTAGGTCACATGCTTCGCGCATAAACAATGTCGCGCAATGCATTCATTTAATGAAGGAAGAAAAGAAACAGTGTGGAAAAGTTATACTTACGTATAAAAGTTCCATTATATTTGATTACGCTAAAATCTTATTAAAATGCATTGAAATAGTAGAAACATAAAAGAAATTCCATTAAAAGACATTTTCAAAGAGTTTTTTGGCGATGGGACAAAAGCTTCATTGTATTGCGTTTCATTATATTGGAGATAGCAAAGATGTTCACTCATTAGATATAATATCATGTGATTAATAAAGGCGCTATAGGCGGCACGATGTCGAATCACTTTTTTGACTTTGTAAAATATTAGCTTGCCTAGCAATGTTAGCCATGTATCGATCGCGATTTGAATATGTTCCTTTTTGCGCTTTGAACATCATTAATTCGTCGTTTCGCTTGATTTGCGAGTTCTCTCTATGAAACTTAATGAAACAACAATATACGTCTACTCATACATATTGTTTTTTTTTTAAATTCATACGTGTTTAAGCAACTACTAAAATGTTTATCGACAGTTTTTGTATATTTGAAACATCCATTTTTTCTTTCTAAAACAAAATTTGAGTTTTTTTTATTGTTATTTTTATCATTAGTCTATTTTCATTTTGTTGTCAATATAGCTGAACATCACGTACATTTTGATCAAACGACTTTAAAAGAGGAGGACTTTGAAACGGAAAGTTCTTCCGTTACATATCAACAAGTTGGAAAAAATATTGTAGACGTGCATCTGGGATTTTTACAGCACAATCATCGATATTTAATTGAATTGCATTTGCCAGCCAATTTATTTAAATGTCAACCGAATGTTCCGATTAATTTAGTTGCTGATAATAACATAACACCAAATGTTCACTGTAAACTAGCTGCTGATCGAGTCACCGAACTACTTAGTGATAGCGAAACAGAAAAATTCTTTGTAATTAAGGTCGAGTATTTTGCCCATAAAGAGAAATTGCTTCGTGAAGAATTGAAACTAGTGAATGCAAATAACTTGGAAGAATTGCTAAAATTATTTGTATCGGCACGAGTTCTGGGCAAAGGCAAAGGGACGCCAATGTTAAGAAATGGAATACATTGCTTGGGCTATGAAGCCACTGGCGAATCGGATGGCGAATCATCATCAAAGTCAGATCATAATCAACCGCCAATATTGGTTTCTGCCGGTGCAAATAAATAATTGATTAATTAAAACATTACTTTCATTTAAAATCACTGCATTTTTATTCTATAATATCACGTTCTAGTTGAAGAATGCAATTTTTCTTAGACATATTATTCAGAATTCAATCAGATATTAACACACGAAGATAAAGCAACGAACAATTTAATTGGAAATTCAAACAAAATCGATAAAATTTTAATTTCTAATTAATAACAGCTATATACAGCAACTTGCAAACAAAAACAAAGGAAACAGAGAAACAGAGATACAGATAAAAAATATATGGACGTTATTTGTTCAATGAATCATAGAAATAAAGAATAAATTGGTTGATATATTAAAATGAACATGAAAAACATTAATTGGTTATTATCAATCACAAATAAACATATAAATTTCAACAATCACTGTTGAGAGAAACAGTTTGCTGGCATTTTTTACAATCAAAAATAAATTTGTCTCGAATAAACTTTGAAATGATTATGCACTGGATTGTGTATTTTTTTTATATCCTTCGAGTATTCAATGTTCATTTATAATTGATAGATTGTAAATTGATGACTTCTTGTACAGAAGGCGAACCCAATACATTTCAGTCATATTCCATAGCTTTCACTATTTGTGCTTGCACTTGTGTTTGATACTTTGTTACTATTTGAATAACTTATCGTGATTGTATTGCTTGGGCGTCGGACAAAACTTATAATTAAATGGTTTATTTAAATAGTTTTCATTTGTGATTGTGGTTTAAAATTGTAAACAAAAATGTTCAATTATGAATTATGGTGTATTAAATTCAGTAGTAAAATCTTAGTTAATTGAATTTCCCCAATTATTTTAAGTGTCTTCTTAACATCCGATACATCACAATCGTATGAATCAAAAGTTGTCAATTCCTTTTTAAATGGTTTTTCTTATGATGATAAGAGATGCATTTACTAGATTTAATTATATACGCATGTAGGACTGTAGGTTGAATTTTATTTCCAAATCAGGCCTGCTCGTGAGCCCAAATTTGGACATTTGTTTTATATTACATTAAAAAAATACATGCAACTCATTTAAAAAATGTGCTAAAAAACCTTTTTATCCTAAAATAAATTAACACCAAGCACAATTTTATTGCAAAAAGTCTTTTTTTATGTCTTTTTTATTATTTTGAAATTATTTTAAAAACCCAATCTTAACAATATACTTAATCAAAGTTGATAAATTTAGCAAAATACTTACACATTTTCATTGCATTTTTAACACCTTAAAACTAAATCATATAATTTGATAAAAACGGCTCTTATATTTTTTTTTGGTGTATGTATTTTCCTATATAATTCTCCTTCAATTTCATTTAATTCTTCAAATATTGTTTTTTTCTTTCTGTTTTCAAATATGTATGTATCTAGTGTAAACAAGTCATTATATTTGACAATGCATCTTTGATATAGCATCGGTGAACACTAGACAGTATGCGGTTCACGAGCCATTGATATGAACTTAAATTCATATTCACATTCTTCTCTCTTTAGCTTTTGAATAGTACGGTACGTCGGTGTTGAACTCATCTTGATTGAAATACATTTTTCACCAAATTTCTACAAGGTTTTGCTAATTTCTTGCATTTTCCAAAATATTTTATTATAGGATTCATCCATCACATCAAAATGGTTGCCCAAAAGAAACAGGTAAGAATATTTGAAAAAAAAAAAAAAAATAATCACCATTAAACAACACCACGTTGTCATATGTGTGGTTTTATACTGAAAAGTGAGGTTAGGTCTAGTTTAATTGTGAATAAGATATTAATATATCGGGTTTTCTTATTTTTTATTGCGTGCAACAGAAAAAAGCTTTGGAATCCACCAATGCCCGTTTGGCTTTGGTTATGAAATCCGGCAAATTTTGCTTGGGCTACAAACAAACCTTGAAGACATTGCGTCAAGGCAAAGCAAAATTGATCATCATCGCCAACAACACACCACCGCTCAGGTAATAAAAATAGACTATTGAGAAATAGAGTTTTCTTGCAATGCCGATACAACCGATTCGTTTTGAAACCATATGGAGTCGTGAGACTGAGAAGTATGTTTTCAAAATTTTTGAAATAGCTCAATGGTCGCATAGAGATCATAGAAATGAAACAAGATGTTTCGTTTATTCAAATTTATGGTTATCTAGCGTCATGAATATTGTCAAGAAGAAAACCTATGGAGTAGTCCCACGATGAGCATCGATTCCATATGGTTTTGAAGCAGATTCGACTGTTTCAATAATGTAAGTGAACATGATTTTTTTTTATTTGAATATATTGAATTTCGCTCCGTTTATATGATGAACATTTATTTGCTACTTCTGAGTTTTTGTGACGATATATTTACACTAGAGACTCTTTCTGATTTTTTTCACTAAATTTAACATTACTCATCTATGCGCTTGGATTAGAATTTAATTGAAACAAATCATTTATATTTTCTTTGTACAGAAAATCTGAAATCGAATACTACGCTATGTTGGCCAAGACCGGTGTTCACCACTACAGTGGCAATAATATCGAATTGGGAACTGCATGTGGTAAATACTTCCGTGTTTGTACCATGTCAATTACTGATCCAGGAGACAGTGACATCATCCGAACAATGGAAGTAAATGTATAATGAGATATGTTGGTTTGATTAATAATGGGCAAATACAAAAATAAATTTCATTGTTTTTTCAAACAGAATAAAACCAAAAGTTCTTTTCTTTTTTTCTTCTACGCGAGGAACATTTTCCAACGTTAAAATATACTAAAAGCGTTAATAAGTAAAATTTTAGCAATTTTCATAGAACATCAAACAATTCACATAGTTTTATTTTATACTAAAACTCATGTGAAAATTTGACATAACCTCACAATGTCATGATATAGAAGAAGAATTACGACAACGACGTTTGGTAAGCGAAATGTCATTTTCATAGACTTTTTATAGCAGAGGCGAGAGCCAATAAGAGCCCAATGAAAAACTTAGTGAGAGTGAGAAAAATATGGCGATGATTGGAAAAAAGAAAAGTGAAATCAGTCAGTATGCATTGTGAATTTTCCAATAAAGATAATTAAATATTTATTTGGAAACATTTTTCCTTATTTTTTAAAAATAAAAAAAGGAAGAAATATTTTAGCAATTATGTTCTAGTCAAATTCAAATTAATTCTCCTCAATTATCCTTTGGTTTTGTGGTATCTTTTGTAGAATTGGAAATCAAATCAAAGAGAGTGAAGAAAGTTTCTATTTCAGCATATTACATAGAATGTGTATATGTATGTATAGTGTTTGTTGCGCGTAGTTTAATATAAAGATTACTCTTGTATTCCCTGCGAGGAAAAAAAAAAAAAAACACACAAAATCTAAACACAAAAGTGCGTTTAACCTTTATTATATTTTTTATAACACATCGCTAAAAAAGAAAAATATTACAAATTTTTTTTCTGTAAATAATTTAGGAGAAATGCACTGAAGATGGAAACCATAAGGCAGGAATTACTATCCAAATAGTTTTTAGTGTGCAATTTCGGACGAGATTCAAGCAACATTTTGAGTTGCTGCAAACTAAACGCGTAATAGTGATTATTTTAAATTGGTATTTATTGCATTGCTGTTTATGGAATGGCAAATGATATTAACCAAACAGGTGACTATGGGACGAATATACGATATGAGCCACGGATGTACGACATAGAAGTTATATTGAGTATGATAGACATATCGGCAGATCGTCTAGAAGACTTAAGAACACAATGCGCTACCAGTGCCGAGCTAACCCAGCAAGAGATTCGTACACTGGAAACTAAACTCGTGAAAATGTTCTCCGAATTGTTGATTACCAAGGCTAAACTGCCAAAAGCAATCACATCAACTGGTTCAGAACTTAAACAATGGTTACGCGTTGTAGGCCTTAGTCAAGAATCACTCGATGTTGTATTGCAAAGAGTGAATACGTTGGAAATATTACTAGATAAAAATGATTGTGAACTTCGCGGAATGTTGAATTATAATTTGAATATTAGAGAAGAGGAGGTGCGTCGTTTTTTACGAGCAATTTTCAACTTGAAGCGTTGCCGCGAAGCAATTACAGTCGGTACAAATGAACCAATTGAATTATTTTGGGATTCATGGGATCGACATCAGAGTACAGCAAGTGCATCTCCACGTTCATCTCGTTTAACATCTCGTTACCAACAACATCAACAATATAACCGTATGGTTAATTCAATCGCCGAAAATCACGTTCAAACAGTAGATATCACAATACGTGATAAAGACACAACTGTCGAAAGGCAAAATCATTTAATTTCACCCGAAGATACCAGTGCCAGCACATTAACACCATCCCCATCACCACCAAATTCACCGAGCTATGCACTAATTGCCGCAAAAATTATCAAACGAAATGGCACTCCACCAACGAGAAAAAGGAATCAAGCCATAGTAGTAACAATGAATCAATCGATGCAACCTAATAACTCGTATCATCAATATTCGTATCAGCAGCAATTTACCCCTCCCACGACCAGCCCACAATCACATGTTTTGAATAACATTGATCAAAATTCACTTCCGAAATCCCGTTCACAAGAATCAAAATGGATGGATGGTGGCAGTGTACAAGATGTAAATCGAAGCAGTATTTCGAGCACAAATAGTGTTTCAGTTAACTCAACAAATCCATCAAATGCGATTCATAAACTCGATAACTTCAATTACTCGGTATCCATTAATAATACAACTGCGAATTTACCAACGCCTAGGCGTGACAGACTACACACCGAACCAAACCCCGAGCATTTCAATGACATAGCCGATAACAGTTTGACGGTGCCTCGATCACCATGTACGCCTATCATAATTCGTGGTATGGCTCACATGATTGCTCATCGTTTTACAAAGAAATTGAATATGATGCATAATTGTTATTTGTGCAATAAGGTAATAATACTCTGTAAAATAGAAGGGATTAAATTAATTAATTAATTTTCATCTGTAGGATTAATTTTAAAATGCAAATCTATAGGATTAAGTTTAAATACTTACTAAGAGTAGGTATAATTAGACCACGATTACATCCCGCACAATACCCAGGGCTTATGTCCGAGAGTCATAATCGCTTCTTCTAATTGGTATATCAAAAAGCGGTGTAGCTCGTGTATTATGCGCTGAATAGTAATAATTCCAACTGTTTGATAAATGAATGGTCTTCATATCTCCATGTATAATTCTAAAGATGAAAGATACTTGCGCCACTCTTCGTCTCTCCTCTAGCGTTATCATTTGTAGAATCAGCCATCTTTGTTCATATTTCGGAAGCCTGTAACTGTTCCAGTTCATTCTCCTTAGTGCAAATAGTAAAAGTTGTTTTTGTATTGACTCTATTCTTTTGCACATATTGTCGTCGTGTGGATTCCAATTTTCGATAATTGGTAATACCCCTCCTAGGTATAGAGTGAAAAAAAAAACTTGAACGGATAGAGTCGGTCCATTGGACCGCCCATACAAAATGTATGAAAAGTCTATGAAATGAACAAAATTATATTTCTTTTTTTGTTGAAATTTTCATTATAATTTTTTTTAAATGGGAAAAAAAGTTGAAAATAAATAATTTATGACAAAATTAATTGGAATCTGATGATGCAGTTCATACGGACGCTTTTTGGTGCAGTTCGTACACATCGCAATTTTTTCGGAATGTTCACCACAAACATTTTTCATACATTTGCTGCACTGTGTTCGCGTCTTTCCATTGATTTTAGTGGGACATAAATGACATACACTTTTTTTATCTTGTTTGGTTTGCTTTGTTGAAGTTGACGGTGCTGTTGAACTGTGCTCAGTACAGCTCGATGCGCTTTATTAAATCCATAAGTAGATCTGCGTGCTATTTGATCATACACCAATGCTTCTGATAATTCGATCAAAAATTTCTTGCGTTGAAATGAATATCGATCTCGTGTAATTCCATGTTTTGCATTATAAACAATGAACGCAGCGAGTCCAAAATGTGGAGTCCATATACATTGATCAAGTTCATGAAGAAAGGCCAACGATTTCTGCCTCGTTGACATGAATAGCTATGACACAGTTTATCTGAATGATCAACGCCACCTTTTGTGCTGTTATAAAATGTATTGATTACATCTTCAGAACCCACACTTTTGATCGACAGCGAACGAATCATGTTTGTGTTTCTTAGCTTATATACACATATACACAAATTCTTTCTTTTTTATTCTTTGCTACATTGCTGAATCTACTCTATATGCACCGTTTTATAACGCAAAATTCAGAATGTGCACTGTTGACAGTTTTGAATTGTTTTATTTTTTACTGTTTATATGAGGTTTTCATGCATTTTGTATGGGCGGTCCAATGGACCGCCACTATACGTTCTAGGTGAGATTTGGTTTTTTCAAATGTCCACAACATATACAATTATTTTATGATAGAAACAGTATGCACATGAATTATAATCTTCTGTACGAATAATATACCCGAGAAATTTTGAATTTTTTTAATTTACTTCGATTTTTATTCAATTTTTTCAAAAATTTCGGTCCAATGGACCGCCTCTATACCTAGGGGGGATACAAATGTAAATTTGTAAGGCGTTTTTGTCCATGAGTCGACAAAATCCTTGCCGTAGAACTTTAACCAAGCCAGTCTTGATTTGACACTAGCTGTGACATGCTCAGCATTGCTCAGTGTGTGATTTGAAATTCATTTGCACATCAAGCAACACTACCAAGTCCCTTATTACGAAAACTATTTCAATTTGAACGCCTATGTTGTATTCGTATTCATGATGATATGAAATGATCTTTGTTAACATTTCATTTTCATAAATTGCGTCCATAATAATTCGCTAAACGATGCAAGTCATTTTGAAGAGTCATTTTTTGCGCCATTCATTTCGCTTGCGATAGCCGATCATGTGATTATATTGACGAATGTGAATCGAACGAGTTTTTCGGTGCGATTCTCCTTGTTTGGATCAATGTATCATTGGAACCAGGATAAGCCACTCCATCCGTTTGAATCGATTTTTGGAATTTTATAGTGTCATTTTGTGGTGTTCTTTCGATGGCATCAATGTCAAAATTCTTTCAATGTTCTTTCACCTCGCGCAATGTAGCCTCTCTATTTCGTTGGTAATCATGAATGTACCTGTTGTATGATTGACGAGGAAATCAATAGAAATAACATTGTTTAGCGAATGAAAGAAAAATGATTGTGTGCAACCGATTGATTTGAAATAATGTAAAAATATTAATAACATCAATTGCCTCCCGTCGTCATCCTTAAAAAATATGCTCGAGTCGAGCAGCTCGACAATCTCCGGAACAAATTTGATGCAATTCATATTTTAGTATTTCAATTAGATGCGGATTTGGTACGCCTCTGATTTATTTTTGAAAAGATATTCCATGGTGTCGTTGATCTGTTGCTTGGTTGCAATTTGGTGCACAAAAAGCTTCCGAAGATGAGAATATGCTATCACGTTTTAACGTTATTCTTGAAATTTGTGTAGTAAATTTGTGATGCGTAGTTATATTTGCAATTTTCTCAATTTTTGGAACTCTATAACGAAATATTTACGACACAAACAGTAAATTATTCTGCACACCTTGAATCCAGAGTTCATTACGCCATCTTCATTATTATTTATTATTTATTTATACACCGTCTAATCACAGACTGAATTTATCACAAAATTTGTACAATATCGTTCACAATGAAACACCACCCGATCGTATACCCAGCCACCAGCCTTCTCGACTTCGGAGCAGCAGATATCGACTGTGTTCACTGTTTTAATTTCTATATAATACATATAAATTAAAAGTTAAATTTTTCACCGATCAAATATCGCATTTTCCAATTTGACAATATTGTTTCTAAAGATGTGTCTTGATGCCGATTCTAAAAATGTTTCTCTTATCAAGTTGAAGTTTCTACAAGCTACGTAAAACGGCTGATTATGTGCATAATCCGATGAAAATTCCCTAACTCTAATCAGTTCTGTACTTCTTAAATTTCTTTGGTTTTCGTCATATTGCAGTCTTGTATATACAATTTTATTTCTAAGTGAACTAGACACTATTTTACCCAAAAGGAGATCATAAATTAAAAATACAGAGGCATTTATACGCCGTCTCCAAAGCGGTTGAATATTTAAAACACCACATCTAAATTGATACGGTGGTAGCACAAAATTTTCTCAATTTTTCCCATATCACATAAATTAAAAATAAATCTCAATGCCCATATCACAAAATCTTTCTGGATTGGTTCTATTCTATTGGAATGGATACGGTGATATGGTTGCCAAACAATACTCGCATACTCTAATTTTGATCTGACTAGTGAACAATATAATATTTTAGCAGATTCAATTGTAAACTTATTCTTTAATGTGCGTTTGATGAAACCAATTGCCCCATGTGCACTGGCTGTAATCGCGTCGATGTGATTGACAAATGTTAGCTTCGTGTCGAATACAACTCCCAGATCCTTGTGTAAATTGATCCGTTCAAATGTATGTTGGCCGTTGTTGATCGAATAATCGTAGGTAACTATGTTTCCGCTTTTCGAATATGTCATAACGAAACACTTCTTCAGGTTCAAATGCAAGCTATTTTCAGTACACCAGTCGCTCAATTGATTAATGGCATTCTGAAAAATGATGGCATCAATGGGCGATTGTATGGTGCGGATCAATTTCAAATCATCTGCAAATAATAAAACAAGTGCATCTTCGCTATCAAAATTTTGCGTCGCTCGGAAAAAGTCATCGAAGAAGTTTTTATCTACGAATTGACTGAAATAATTTTCGATTTCAATGTATCAATTGCCATGAAAATCGTGTAATGAAAACTGTTAACACCCAAAATAAAATATCACGTCATTTCTAGCACATAATCGCTGATCAAATAACGAAATTCATTTGTCTTCATTGGTCGACTATGTTTCAAGCTTTTTTTGCACTTTTCTTTATGGTTTGCTTTTCACTATTTTTTTTCTTTTTTACTGGCTTTGGCTTAGAAGCTGACGCTGCAGGCTTCAGTTTCTTTCCAGCTATCGTGATCGTTGATAGTACACCGAATATCCAAGCAATCAAATGTTCACCTGATTCTCGACTTGTGTCTTAATTTTATTCCCCTTTTTCGTCTGTTTGAATGAAAAGGGGAATAAAGAATAAGACTTTTCTTTTGTACAAAAATACATATACTTTCTTCGTGTCTCGTTTCGCAATTTGTTTTGTGTTTTCGTAACTGACGCACGGTGTCAAAACCCCACTATGCCACTTAGATAACGATTTTTAGTTAAATTCTGAAGTAATATATACGCTCTTTATCAATTCGGAAATGAATGAATTCTCCCAGTTCTACCTTCGAAACAGGATGAAATTCAGATGGCATATAATGTTTGCGCCACACCCAAATTAAATCCATTTTCGACGAGAGATGACATGAATATGCATCCCTATTTTAAGTATCAATTTTTTCTTAGCTTTATTGACATTAATTCATACTTAACTTTTTAATGAACTCTTTTTAATTTTTCTTCTTTCTAAGACAATGTTCATCGGACTGAAATGTAAAGAGTGTAAATATCGATGTCATAAAGAATGTGAACCATATGTAAGAAAATAAAAAAAAAATACCAAAATTAGATATAATTGCTTTATTTCTTCATTTCAGGTACCTCCAAGCTGTGGTTTGCCCCCAGCATTTATTGATGAATTTAAGAAAACCTTACCATCAGACGTATTTTTGCCAAACACATCACCGAACATGGTAAAATCAGGTGGTTTTCTTTCATCAGCCCGAAGAGATCGACATCGGTCGCAGGCATTTACAAATCAATATATTGGTGCACCAGATAGTAGTTCGGCTGGTTCGAGTTGTTCTTCGCCATCAAGTCCAGCTTTACTAATGGTTCCACCTCATACTCCGGCTGCTTCGAAACAAACACAGTTTCATTTTCCCGATCTTGGTTGTGATATTGTAAAACATCGCCTTACTGATCAAATTGATATGGCCAAAGAACAACAAAAACGTGTCGCTATCGATCGTACATTTTCAACTGGTTTGACCGATACAACGCGTAGTAACGGAAGTGACAAAACAGATAAAACAATATCATTGTCCGGTTCAATAAGTGCTAGCACAGACTCCGTACGCTCTGACTCGACAGAAGAACGTGGTAATGGGCATTGGCCACGTCAAAATAGTTTATCACTCAAAGAATGGGATATACCATGGGAAGATTTAAAACTTCTCGAAGAAATTGGATCTGGCCGTTTTGGTACAGGTAAAATATAAAAACCACAGTCAAGACAGTTATCCTTACATTCGACACTTATCTTTACAGTCCACCGTGGCCTCTGGCATGGCGATGTAGCTGTTAAATTATTTAATGAAGGATACTTAGATGATGAGCATGCATTAGAAGCATTTAAACTCGAAATTGCAACATTTAAGAAGACTCGACACGAGAATTTAGTACTTTTTATGGGTTTTTGTATGAAGCCACAAGCAATGGTTACCTCTTTATGCAAAGGAAATACATTATTCACGCACATCCATTCTAGACGTGATAAATTTAATTTGTATCGCGCCATTTTGGTTGCACAGCAAATTTCGCAGGGCATGGGTTTGTATATTTTTGAGCTAATATCATTAAACGAAAATTAGTTAGTGTTATTTTCATTTGATTTGATTTAATTTCCATTGTATTTTTACATATTGGTCCATCACATGTTGATTAATTTCTATTTTTCTTTTTTGATTGATTCCCAGGTTATTTACACGCGAAAGAAATTATTCACAAAGACTTGAAAACAAAAAATATTTTTTTGGAAAATGGCAAAGTCGTCATCACCGATTTTGGTTTATTTAGTACAACGAAACTGCGATATGCACCGGCCGGTCTATTCATTGAAGAAAATATGCTATGCTATTTAGCACCCGAGCTAATAACCCAATTACGTGCTGTTCGACCAACTAAGGAAAATTTGCCATTTTCCAAAGCAAGTGATATATTCGCATTTGGCACAATTTGGTACGAATTAACCTATATTTTCATGAAAATCTTCTAGAATTTAAAAAAAAGATTTGTCATAACCAGTGTTGGGTAAAGATATTAGATAAGATGAGATACCAGATAAGATGCCAGATAAGATGATATCTTATATCTTATCTTATTTTTGACGAATATATCTCATCTTATCTAGATAACTAAGTTTTCTTTCGATATCTTGGTGGTATCTTTAGATCTTTTTAAGTTATTTTGAGATTTTTACGAAAAAATTCAAAAATTTTTGGAAAATATATCTTATAAAATTATTTATATGAAAAGATAATGAAATTATCTAGATACTTTTGAATATCTAGATACTTAGAGTTATCTAGATACTTTGAGTATCTAAAGTCCAAAATTTTTGTGATTTTTTCTGCGTAAAAATATCCTTGAAAGTATCTAAGATACACCCAAGATATTATCTTATCTTTGCGTTTTTTTAAGATAAGATATGGTATCTCACCTAGATAAATTTTTTGCCAAACTAAAAAAATCTCATCTTATCTAGATACCAAAAATTTTACAATTACCCAACACTGGTCATAACCCCTTTTATATATAAAGATATATAAATAATATTGGTATACAAGTAATATTGTGGCTTGGGCACACATAAGAGAGAAACTATAGTCGCGTTAACGTGGATTCATTACTCTCATAATACTTCATAATATATATTTTGGAACAATTGTTGGCGGATCAAAATTGGGGTCGGATTTGTGTGTAGTTTCAGTAATATTCAACGTCACAATGGAATGAAAAAAAGAGAAAAAAAACAATAAAATTAATTGGATTAATATGAAAAAAAATGAGATCACTCATAATTATCAATATGCAATAAACTCCACTTACCGAGTACAATTTATACCAAGAGGTAACTCGTACTTCGACAAGGCCACAATTTATCAAGCCTAGCGGACTAAAAAATAATTGTTATAAACTAATTTCTAAATTATAATTTGATTTGATAATTGGCTGCAGATGTCCATTGTTGACATTCTGATTCTGGCCTCGATACAACGGCAATGGCTGATTTCAACACGGCGTGGCCTCCGTACATTTGGATGAATTGTCCGCTTGAACACCACGCATTCACCTACCGAATGATATATAACAAAAACACTTTACATGTATAACAATTGATTCACAATTTGTATCAATTTCAATTGATTCCATACCGTTGTAGAGGATCAGCTTCGCTGCTGCGATATCACGATGCCTTGCTTTGAAGAAGCGTTGTTTCTTTGACACCAACCGACCTGCATTCGATCCATCTCGAAGAGTTGCAGCAATGACATCGCCCATATCTCGTATCTCGCGCCACATTCGTTCAATTGTTCGTCGCATTTGTAGTAATCGTTTGCTCACATTGGTTACAATGAGTGTTGGTAAGCCAACAACTGGATTTGGAACACAACCCACACATGTCCTGTATCGATCACGTCGAGTTGCTTGTGGAAATCGTTTGAAACACAATAGACAATGTGGTGATGTCATGTACTCATCGACCATTCGAATGATGCAATTGCCACGTTTTATAATGGCTGCAAGCAGCTTCCGTGTGCCTGGACATCGCACATGTTTCTTGATCTTAATCGGCGAATTGGCTGGTGTTGATCCGCTGGCTCCCATGTAGAAAATTGATGGTTGATTGAGAAGCATTTTGCATGCCGTCTTTTCGATTGCACGAACCGATTCGATATGCTTGTCCAGTGATATCGCTTGCTGGATATACGCAAATTCACCTAACAAAATGAGAACAACAAAAACAACATTGTATTCACAATCACTTTCATTCATTATCAAATGGCAAATTTACCTCTTCTTTGGTATGCAAATCTCGTCGTACGGAAGCGTTCCACGTATGCATACCCGGATCACATCCAACAGCTTATTTCAACTCGTTGCTATCATACAGTGCCTTGATTTCGTCATCTGTTTTCTCGACTAGTGATACTTTCGGTTTTTTGTACATCAACGATACAGATACGCCATCGGAACAAATTTGAGAATCGAATTCCTTTTTGTTGTGCACAAGTTTGAGAATTTTCTCCACATCGAAGAATAAATTCCAACTTAGTTAATTTTGCACTTGCTAGAATGCAGTACAATGCGTCGGTGCACAACGGCACAACAATAAAGTTTTTTATTTGCCAACCAACGCAATTCATCCAATAGTTCATCCAATCGCATATCACGTTCAACGTCGCCAATTGCGGTGTTTCGACGACGATAAGTATAATTGATAGCATTTTTTATATCTTCATCGTCGTAGTATGGCAATTCGAATTCGATCAAACCGTACAAATTTTTGAAATAATTGTACTTGATGGCGTAGTCGTTGATTTCGAATGCTCTCATTTTAAAAAACTTCCGCAATGGAGACTCGCAATGCGTTGTCAGGTTTGTTTTGACGTTGTCGCGATACTGCTCCCTCAAATATTTAAAACCATTCCCGAACCCATCCTTTGTGGGCCAGTGCATCGTCGAAAATTTTGCGGAAACCAGGTAACATAAGCGATATGTTAGCAATGTTATCGACAAGAACGGCCTTAAAACAGTTGTGTATGATCGTTGATGGTTCATCGATTTCAAAAAATCATAGTTGAAATCGTCGAGTACTTCACTGACCTATTCAAGAAACATAGAACACACATAGAGAGAGAGAAAGAGAGAGAGAGAGAAACAATCAAATCAATTCATATAAATACAATGGATCGCATAATGCCGAAAAAAAGACGAAAAATGAATTTTGGTCAAAGCAATGTGTGTACTTACCTTCATCAAAAATAGTAACGATGCAAGGCATACGAAACGATTGCGACAATTACATCCCGATATCTTTCACGGATAATCGATGGCAGTCCCTACTTTATTGACCTTAGGTCGACGTTTGGAACAGCCTTCTTGTGACGACTCATTTTGCTGCCTATTTACACTCTCTTAAAAATAAAAAAAAGTAAAAAGAATTACATTAAATCATGGTATAAACTTCACTAAATCACTTTGAAAAAAATCTAATCTTTTGCAACATACATTAAAATCACATGAAAGGAATCATTTGTATAAAAAAACTAACACGATGTGATGCGGTGCGATGATTAAAAGGCGAATTTTTGAATGTAAACAAATACTGTTGGCTTCGTGTGAATGAATCATTATAATTGAAATAGAAAATTAAAACTTAACGTTATGTTGGGTCGGGTTCACATTGTGCTGTGGAATGTGAAAACTACACACATAATCTTTTATTTAACACGAAAATGACCACCAAAATGGGTTTTGACCGTTATGGGGTTTTGGCGTTACATTTTTCAACGTTAAAATGGATGATAAACGTTACAAATTGGTTGCTTGTTTATAATATTATAAACATGAAAGTTCATTTTTTGTAGTTATCCCCCTATTGGCATCTTCTATATATTATCCTATATTTTTCTTTTATTTTTCACAAATAATCCTATATAATTAATTTATTTGGTAATTTCAGGTACGAACTACTTTGCGGTGAATTTCCATTCAAAGGCCAAGCCGCAGAGAGCACAATCTATCAAATTGGTCGTGGAATGAAATATACATTGGCCAATGTTCAAGTCTCACGTGATGTCAAAGATATTTTAATGCTTTGTTCGGCATATTGTTCAGCTGATCGTCCTGACTTTGCAAAATTGTTAACACTTTTAGAGCGTCTACCAAAAAAGAGACTAGCTAGAAGTCCATCACATCCGGTGCAACTATCACGTTCAGCTGAATCAGTATTTTAAACCATAGGAAATTAAAATGACAACAGAAAGCATTTCAACATCGAAACCCGACTGTATATATATATTTATTTTATTGAATTTAACGCCAATTCACACAACCTACTAAATGTCACTTTGAAACACTGAAACCATTGTGAAAAAATGTATAAAATCTAAATTATAAACAATAGCAAAGTCATTGCACAGTGTTACACGGACAAAGTATCCAATTGATTATTATTATTTCACATCGTATGTGAGTGTCTATTTGTGAATTTGTAATGTATATGTTTAATAAATTGCAGTGAAATAATGAACTTTAAGGAAAAACTTCAACACATATAACTAAAATTAATTTTGTGATTTACCTATGTCTAAATTATTCACTATTTATTTTAAATAGGACTTTCAACATCTCATTATATAAAAGAAAACAAAATGTATGCATTTAAATTTCATATTTAGTTTAATTAAAATTAGTTTTGTTCGTACACTCTTTTTAATTTATAGAAATAAATCAATATTTAAATATTTATTAAAATTACCTATTTTATTGTATTTTAATTTTGAAAAATAGAATTAAACTTTACATTTTTCCAAATCATAACTAATTCTCTTCAACTAGTTTAACTTAACATTAAAATGTTTATGTTTAATGTTTATTTTTGTTTTTTTTTTTAGGCGGTACCGGTACAATTATTTCTACCGGGTACATATTGATTAAATCAATTTCCATGAAAATAAAATTTACTTTGTTGCTATTTGATGGTAAAACTTTGAAATTTTCGGCGATATATTTTTTCGTTTTATTTTGACATTGATCATTAGTTTGACAGTTGAATATTGAGAACAGACGGCGCTGCATTACTACAACACAAATCAGGTGAATGACAATAGATCAATATGAATGTCACTTATATGAAGAACAATGTTCTAGTGACGCCTATGAGGTAATAAGAATTCACAAAACTAATAAACAAACATTGTCTGTGAAAATTAGAAATAAACAAGAGAACTTGAATATTATATTTAAAGCTGCAACATGGAATCGAATGATATTCAAAGTGTGATTGAGTTATCAACTATACGTCTTGAGGCATTACGGACACAATGTTCATCTAGTGCAGAATTAACGAAGCAAGAAATTCGGACGTTGGAAACAAAATTGGTGAAAATGTTTTCAAAACTTTTAATTACAAAAGCACAAAATTCCAATCGATATTCGAAAGGATCACAACCAACTGGTTCTGAGTTGAACCAATGGCTGAAAGTTATTGGTGAGTAAAATATAATATATGTACTCTGAATATGATTTTTAAAATAACCTTTACATGCAGGCTTGAGTGAAAATGCTTTGGCTGCAGTTTGGCAACGAGTCAGTACATTAGAATTACTATTGGACAAAAGTAACACTGAACTACGGCAACTGATCGAAAATAATCCGAGTATTGATGAAAATGAGATTCTACGGTGGCAACGTGCAATGTTTAACTTGAAAAGGTATTCGGCTTTCGCTATTTGTAAAAAAATATTTAATTCAATTTATAATGATAGATGATCAATTTATTGATTCAAAAAAGGTTCCATCAATATCAATCAAAAACTGTGAAGAAAGAACCGGAGCCATCTGATTTATCGTGGACATATTGGAATGGACAAAATTGGAATGGATATATTCAAGTATCACCAGAACATGTGCAAAAAGCTGAGGCATCGAATGTGGAGACTGAATTGCACCTTAATGCTCATAATGATACAAATCAATTGCCATTAACTCCATTCAAAAGAGGGCCACTTATAGCACATCGTTTTACTAAAAAATTTCGAGCATTAAGTACAACATGTGACTTTTGTAATAAGCAAATTGGTTTAAAAATTGGATTAAAATGTGTTGAGTGCAAGTATAGTTGTCACAAAGATTGTGAACATATGGTGCCTCCATCCTGTGGTGTTCCCGCTGAACTAATGAGTGAATTCAAACAAACGTTTATTTTAGAAAAATCGAATCATTTGCCACCGGCATCACCGGACATTGTCGATGCTGGGAATGGATTTTTCTTTTCAGCGCCAAAATCAAATAGTAGAAGATCAATCGTTCTCCAAACAACTGAACATATAACGCCAAATTCGGTCATTAATCATCGAAGATCATCGAGTACGTTGGCAATTCTGAAAAATTATTTTGAGGAATTGTCATTAGGGGCGGAGCAAAAGAAGGAGCAAACGATGTATCTCGATGAAACTGTAGAGAAGCCAATAGCTGAGACTCTTTCGCATAGATCTGCTGAATCAATATCGTTAAATGAATCGATTGCCTTGAGCATTGAGTCTGTGCTATCTGATTCAACCGAAGATCGTCAATCGGAATGGGGTAATTTTTTTAATATTAGCTAAGCTCTAGATATTAAAGAGGTGGAGAAAGTGAAATCAAACATAGGTCATTAGTATCCATTGAGATTCATTCACATCAGTCATTATTGAAGAGTTGAACATCCCTTGATATCGACTCATTTTTCGTTCTCAAAATGTTTTCGTGTCGTTGTAAAAATGCATCTGTCGGATTGCTCGTTGAAAATGTCTTATTATTACATTATTTTATATTGTGTTTGAGGGAAATAGACTCTCAGATCCACGTAGATCGCGATCCTTCGCAAAATGTTTTTTTTTTGTTGCATAAATGGGGTAAAACTCAGAAAAACTTCACACATTGAATTTTTAAAAAAATCTGACAACGCCAGAATGTTTGTATGCTATCAGATAACAACTGCCTAGTTTTTCCTGATTTCTATAGCAGGTACAATATTTTTTTGCTCAATTTTCAAAATTTTTAAATAGTCGATTTTGAGAAAAGAGTATTTCAATTACATTTGGATATGCTATATCCCTGGGAAACCTATTGAAAACCCTATCGATTGGAGTCGACACCTCTGTCTATTTTCTTTCGGATTTTGGTTGCCATTCTTTGACTATGGCTATATTTTAATACATTAAACGCGAAAAAAAATTGAAGGTACGGACAAACAAACACACATAAATACAGAATGAGAGACTGGCTATAGTTATAAGTTATAGAAAAATATGTAAGATTCACGAATATGACGTTTTTTTTACATAATTGAAGTCACAGGTCAAGCAAATGAAATTTGATTAAAAATTTCAATTTTTTCAAAAAAATTAACACATTTTTTCGTAAAGTCAAAAGCACTCATCAAACAAAATAAACAGATAATCTCTATTCGACATCCTCAAGAGGTTACAGGATGAGTCGGACAATTTCAGTAAAATCTTAAAAATTGGAGAAAATTTTGTTTTGTTTGTTCATATTTTTGAAAACTGTTCAGCCATGATCGGACCCTATTATAGCCAGTAAAATAAGTAAAAGTGAAATTCAAGTTTCACTATATTTGATTGCTCTGGAATAAAAACAGCATATTAAAAACCAGATGTTTTTTAATATAGATTTGTTATTGTAATTGATACAAACTACAACAACAAATGTATGTAAAAAACGTCTTGTTTCGCTTTGATATGCAACCATTTAATATGCTGATTTTATTCTAGAGCAATCATTTGTGATAAGTCTTATGTTCACGCACGAAGAAAGTGAAAGATTTTGAATAAAAGGCCCTTATGCCTTATGCATATATTAACACTTGTTACAATCACTTTTATGATCACCGCCTATTATCACCTACTTTTATAATTGATACTTTTTTTTGGTCATTTTAGGTATACCCTTTAATGACATCAAAATTTTGGATGTCATTGGTAGTGGGCGTTTTGGTGTTGTCAAGCGAGCACATTGGCATGGAGGTAAAGAAAATATAGTTAAGACTTACTATAAATTTGATGCGACTGATGATTGTCCTTTTACAGATGTAGCAGTTAAACTACTTAATGCTAACTATTTGGATGATGCACAATCGCTGGATGCATTCAAAATACAAATCGCTACATTTAAAAATACTCGACACGATAATCTGATTCTTTTCATGGGTTTCTGTATGGAGCCTCAAGCTATTATAACATCTCTTTGCAAGGGAAACACGTTGTTTACTCACATTCACTTGTTACGTGAAAAATTCAATTTGGATAAGGTTACAAATATTGCACTTCAAATTTCGAATGGGATGAGTTATTTACATGCAAAAGAGATTGTTCACAAAGATCTGACTACCAAAAATATCTTCCTTGAAAATTACAAGGAGAATTACAAGGTTGTGATTACTGATTTTGGATTATTCAGCGTCAAAAAACTTCGATATAATAATGGACTTCATATTCCATTAAACTGGTTATGCCATTTAGGTAACGATTTTTTCTTGGCTTTATTGACAATCTATAGTTAACTTTCTAATAAACTCTTTTTATTTTTTCCTTCCATTGTGACGTTAATACTGGAACTACACATTTGCGGTAAAATGGATGTATTTACGTAAAAAATTGTTTCTTGGGCTAATAGCACCAGAGCTTATTCGAAGTTTAAAACAAACAAAAAGAGTTCATGATGAACTGAAATTTTCAAAAGAAACTGATGTTTTTAGTTTTGGTATGGCGTAGAAAATTTAAAATATCTCTTTCGAATCTCGAAGAACCAGGCCCTCGGCGATTAAATATTTACTGTGTCACTCATATACACAGTGTGTCGCAAAGAAACGTAAACTTTAACGAAATACCCCATATTAGTGGTGCCATCTATTGAGGATGATATGCGTTGGAAAAGTCCATCCCTAATTGACATGATGTCAAAGTTTCATGAGGATCGGACCACTAACATCCAAGTTATTGCGTCTTAACTGACAGTATGTTTGCGTCATCGGTCGAAGGCCGAAAATTGAACACGGAACTGTTATATAAATTCGTTCTCATCGGGAAATGCACTCGTTGGAGAGATGGCGCCACTGATATTGGATATTTCGCTAAAGTTTACGTTTCTTTGCGACACACTGTGTACAATAATACTATTGTAAAATTTACAATCATATAGAATAGGCTAGAGTCATGAATGTAGTATATGTACTACTGTAGAAAAATATGAGCAGAGCATTTCGAAGGAAACCGTTGAAGGAATTTCATCATCCCTTTTATGGCTAAATAGGTAAAAAGTGAAAAGTGCGAGAGGTGCGTGTCCACCTTATTATGTATCACGACAATGTATACATCAAAATTTAGTGCAAAATTTAATTTGATTTAAAATTTCTTAGATTGCTTTGGATGTTATCGTAGAATAATGAGGACTTACACTGATGCAGTTATTTCATGTCAATATACCTCTTTATGCAAAAGAAATCCAAAAAAATACAAATCGCCAAAGTGACTTGAGGTATCATTGAACAATCCAACAAATGGACACTAGTAGTTATTGTACCGCGCTCAAACTTGGCATAGAAGTGCACGAGAGATGGACCTATTTAGCTATAAAAGGGATCATGAAATTCCTTCAACTGTTTCCGTTAAAAATGCCAAAATCCTGCTCATATTTGTCCACAGTAGTACGTTCGACAGTGTATTTGACCGCCTGGTTCTTAAGCAATGTTGTTTACTAAAGCAATTTCAAATTTATTTGTGGTCATTACGTTACAATTTCTTTGTGATTTGCCTCCTGTTGGAATCTCTTATATATTCTTAGACATTTTTCTATTATTATTTAATAAATTATTATTGCTTTTTCTGGTCATTTTTAGGTACGGTGTGGTACGAGATATTATCGGGAGAATTTCCTTTCAAACTACAATCGCCACATTCGATCATTTTCCAGATTGGCTCTGGCATGAAACAAACACTTGCCAACTTACAAGCAACACGAGAAGTGAAAGATATTTTGATGTTGAGTTGGGCCTTTCAATCAGACGATCGCCCAGATTTCAATAAACTCTTACAGTTACTCAAAGAACTACAAATTACAAAAAAACAAATGCCAAGAACCCCCACCAGAAAGGTGAATCTATTTCTCTGGGCTGAATCAGTATTTTAAACATATTACTCTTTTCTTTAAAGTAAAATGAACTTCTAGATCATTTAAAATTTTAATAAATAAAACAGTACACATTTAAATTAAAAATGATCCAATAGGCAATTTTTGTAATTTATCGCCTAGGGGGCAGACACGTGGAATAGGATTAGACTTTTAGTGTAAAGATTCGAGAAATTGCAATGAACTAGCAACGTCTGTGAATGGATTCGCGTGGAATAGCGAAACAGTGCATGGAATAGCAAAAATTGTTTCACTTCAAATCCATTTGACATTTCTTTTGACGTTTATTGATGGATTAGTGGAAAAGTGCGGAATAGCAGAATTAACATTTTTGACGAAAACAGTGCATGGAGTAGGAAAAATAGTTTCGATTTCACATTTGTGTTTTTGGATTAGTGGAATAGCTGGATTAGTAATTTATATAGTGGATTCGGAATTTATTCTTGGTGTCTCCCCCCTAGTTTATCGCGTAAGTGGGAGACTATTACCTTTCTGCATAACCAATGTAGTAAAGTGTAGTAATCACATAAAAAACACATGGAAAAATTACTTGGAGACTAGAAATGATTTTTGTCAGCAAGAAGCTTGAATACTCAAACGTTGTTCTCAAAGAAGATGAATTTAATGCGCTATCCTTATGAAAACACAAATTTCTTGCACAAATTCAGATTGAATGGTGATTATGGTCAATTTGTGGATGCCAACGATGAGCAACACCATAAAAGCATGGCTCCCATACAAATTTTTTGGTGATTTCTTCAGATTTTTCTTCGAAAAGTGTACCAAAAACTGGTCGTACCGCAAAATTAATGTCATATTCCGTTTTCTAGTGCAAAAAAACCCTCACTACGTATTTTTTACAGCGGAAAAGATATTTTTTCTGGACTTTAAAGTTTTTCCAAATTCGTTAATCGAGGAAACTCCGGGAATTTTCGGCGGATGCACCCGATGACATTTTCTAATCAAAAACGGTCTCAAATACGTTTGTTTATGTCGTATTATTCAGATCTGGATAGGGCATCTCGATACCGAAAACCAATGGGGGTTGAGGGTTCAAAACGTTCCACCCAAATAGTTTAATTAAGATACAAAACTAGGGGTATTCATAGCAATTCTAGTGCAGCTAGTAGCTTATAGTACTACTATAGTGTTGCTTCTAGTTGCTTCTAGTTGTTGCTAGTCACTACTTTTTTTAGTGTTTCGAAATTAAATTCGGCTGATTGCCGAAAACGTAAAATATTTCATCTGACATTTATAATTGACATAAAATTTGAAATATTTTTTGGTTCCGTGACAATTTGCGGATGACCAAAAAAAATCGAAAATGTGTTGATGCCATAATTACGTACCATAGATGATGACGTGAAATTTTTTAGAGGGGTGATGGCAAAATTCCGTAGGGGATCCCTGGAAAAATCCATGGGTCCCTGTCGAAGTCAATAATTTGTCGGAAATGAGGATAAAATCGTTTTTTTTTTGCTTTTCACTTTTTTGACTTGCAAATTGAAAGACTTTTCTCGGCCAAAAAAAGTGAAGAGCAAACAAAAAAGGTCCTCATTTCCAAAATTGTTGAGGGTTCCAAAAAATATTTTAGAGGGGGGTAATCCGAACCCTAAGAACTCTCGTAATCACCTATGATTACGTACTAATTATGTACTATGCGTACCTACCAAAAAAA